CGGCGCGTACGGCGTGCCGGTGATAGGCGGGGTGTTGTTAGCTCCCATCACGGGAACCGGAGGGAAGCCAGGGGTGGGTTGGGGCGGGTAGCCGATCGGCGCGGCCTGCGCTGGAGGCGCGACGGGCGCGCCGCCAGGCTCAATGACGGAGTGGATCGCTTCGGGAGAGACCAGGCCCATGAGGAGGAGAGCCTGGAAGACCGCGTATGCCAGCTGCGGAGCCTGCTGGAGAAGTTCGGTTGCCCTGGCGGGATCGGTAGAGGCCAGTGCCTTCATCTGCGTGAGTATATCGAGGAGCTGAGACGGAGGAAGGGTATTGAGAGTCCGCGAGATGGCGTCGGTTGCTGTCACGTTCGGGGGGAGCTCCTTGCCGGCCGGGAGAGGAGGCAGCGTACTCGATTGCATCGGCGGCGCGACAGAGTTGTATCCGTTCGAGGCGTGGGAGGGGTTGCCGCCATCTCGGCCCTGCTTCAGTTATTAGATTCGATCTTCGAAAACAGCTCAGTCTCTATAGACGTACGTGTGCATGGCCATCGTTATTGTCATCACTACCTCCTTCATTAGAAAAGTCGACTCTCAGTTTCCTTCCCATAATCTCATAGTCGTTGAGGTTGCGGACTGCCGATGCCGCGGAATCTGCGCCGCCTGGTTAGTCGCGTTCCATATTCGACGAGTTGCGTCATTTTCTTGGGGATTACCATTGTCAGGATATTCTGCGAAACCGAAACCCTTGGGCCGTCCAGTTTCACGGTCATAGACCAGGCGGAAGTTGAGGACCTTGCCGGCACTGCTGAAAATGTCGCTGATCTGTTCCTCGGAAAGGCCTATGGAGATTGGTCAGATATTTCTAGGATATAAAAAAGGTCATCATTCCTACCGTAGGGGATATTTCCCACAAAGACAACCCTGGAAGGCGGTTTCGACATCTCGGTGAAGAAGGCTCGAAGGACGGAATGCAAGACTCGCTCAGTACGTGCTCGCCAAGGCGGTCAAAGGGAATTCGGGTGTCGCGTTCGTAGAAGAATGTAAGGTTTCTTCTTATTCAGTTTCAATTGCTCGGATTAATATGCCATGGATATCAATACGACTTGGTCGAAAGGCGGCGTGACGATGATGATCTCTTTGAAGTTGGCTTCTGGACCAAGAAGCACTGCGTCCCCAGCCTTGACTGCCAGGCTGGGATTTTACGGTGGGGACGGGACCGCGCAGCTTAAGCACGAGCCATCTGATTCTGGATTGCTTCTAGTGTCGAACGGCATCTTCCATTGGCCGACGGCTGACAATTATCCAGGGGCCCGGACCCACTCGTGCCGTGCAAGACCCCTGACGAGATGTACTCCGTACCTTGAGCGCAATTGAGAGCTGGATGGGCTGCGTGTCCAGAAAATGAGTGAAGGTGGCCTCTACTTTACTTTGGCTTTGCGCAACCCCCAAAGCTTTGTGAGATACTCCTGCTTTGCTCACAACTCGACTTCCGCGCGTCGACCCTTCTCTTCTCATGGTTCAGGCGGGGTCTCTCACTTCCTGATATCAACTTTTACGTCTCCGCCACTCCTTTTTGCGATTTTCTGCTTGGCGCATTGTTGCGAAAGCACTACATTTGGCTTCTGTTGATTCGTCCCACAACGCCCACGAGGCTGCCGCAAACTCGTGACCGAGATCGATAGCTCTCGATACCACGTTCCTCTTTCTCCTCCTCCCGAATTCACCATGCCGGCAAAATCAAGATTCACGAGGCTCGACGCCTTCACAAAGACGGTCGACGAAGCACGTATCCGCACAACTTCCGGTGGAATTGTCACCATCGTATCGCTGATCGTTGTCTTTTGGCTGGCCTGGGGAGAATGGGTTGACTATCGGAGGATAGAGATTCATCCCGAGTTGATCGTGGACAAGGGAAGAGGTATGAAATTCTGGTCGTCTCAGTGAGTCTGCATGGGCATTGGGAGCTAATGTATTCTCGGTAACAGGCGAGCGCATGGAGATCCATCTCAACATGACTTTCCCTAAGATGCCCTGTGAACTTCTCACCCTAGACGTCATGGATGTTTCGGGCGAGCAACAGCATGGCGTTCAGCACGGCATCAATAAGGTCCGCCTTCGTCCCCAGAAGGAGGGCGGCGGTGTCATTGACATCAAGGCCCTGGATCTGTGAGTTTCTACAAGTGTTGCTTGCTAGCATGATGCCTTGACTGATATATTTACCCAGTCACTCCCGCGACGAAGCGGCTGAGCACCTGGACCCTAACTACTGCGGCCCCTGTTATGGCGCCCCGTCACCGCCGAACGCGCAAAAGGCCGGATGTTGCAACACGTGCGAGGAAGTAAGAGAGGCATACGCACAGGCTTCGTGGGCTTTCGGTAAGGGCGAAAACGTTGAGCAGTGCACGCGTGAGCACTACGCCGAGCGACTGGAGGAGCAGCGCCAGGAGGGCTGCCGCATCGAGGGTAACCTGCGTGTCAACAAGGTCGTCGGAAACTTCCACCTTGCCCCTGGCCGCAGCTTCAGCAACGGAAACATGCACGTCCACGACCTCAAGAACTACTGGGACACCCCCTCCGATGCCCAGCACGACTTCACTCACACCGTTCACTCTCTGCGCTTCGGCCCTCAGCTCCCCGACACTGTCGCCAAGAAGATGGGCAAGCGCGCGGCGGCGTGGACAAACCACCACGGCAACCCTCTTGACAACACCCACCAGGAGACCAACGACCCCAACTACAACTTCATGTACTTTATCAAGATCGTGCCCACTTCATATCTCGCACTCAACTGGCAGAAGGGCTCCAATCCCGAGCAGGAGAACTCTGGCCTCGGTCTTCTGGGTCAGGGAAGCGATGGCAGTGTTGAGACCCATCAATACTCTGTGACGAGCCACAAGCGCAGCTTGGCTGGCGGTGATGATTCTGCCGAGGGACACCAGGAGCGCCTCCACTCTCGTGGAGGTATCCCGGGAGTCTTCTTTTCCTACGTAAGTTCTTCCCATATCTTCCGTAGCTTCATCTACCGTGACTTACATGATTTGTCTAGGATATCTCCCCCATGAAGGTCATCAACCGCGAAGAGCGCGCCAAGACCTTCACCGGTTTCTTGACTGGCCTTTGCGCCATCATTGGTGGCACTCTCACTGTCGCCGCCGCCGTTGACCGCGGTGTCTTCGAAGGTGGACTGCGTATCAAGAAGATGCGTGCGAAGGATCTTTAGATTAGAGATGGAAGACCTAGGGCTGTATGTAGTCAATATGTGCTGGAATTGTCGCGTACGCTGTGCATCAAAAGTGGAGTTTGGGTGGCTTGGTAAAGAGGGCTTCGTCGTTTCAAATCAATACATAACTATCACAAGGGTCTTTGGCGTTCCTTCATCCACAAGTCTCTTGTGACAAGGTGTGTTCATCTTCATACACATCATCTGCAATCAGGGCCGCCTTTCTAGTGTATCAGGGGGTTCTCGGAGAGTTTTGAGCCACTTCGAGGAGATGACGTTGTCTATGCGAGTGGTTCGTTTCTATAGAACCGCGGTTTGCAGGCGACTTTAAGCTTTGCAGGAATCCATACGAAACAATAATATTTGGGACTCGGGTGATATGATATCATCTATCTTTGAAACTCTACCGCCGTGGGCTGAATGAGTTGCCTTGTCAGGCTGAAGCAATTTTCCAGAAACTATTAGGTCATGGTATGACGAGAGCCACGTGCGTGTTGCGCGCCGTTTTCTATGTTAACAGTCCTTCCAAGGCTGGTAGATATTGCATCCGTTAGTAACTTAGGGAGTCTGGAGCGGCCGGTATCGACCCTGCCCGGCAGGCGGGGAGATATTCACTCAACTTACAATAAGTCAAAGACGAAGAGGCTATACTTTAGGTCAATCCGACCGAGCCTTTTAACCATATTAAGTTCTCGGAACCATCTAAGGTATTCAAGTGCCATGTTTGGATTCATTACATATGGCTCAGTTATATCAGGCGCGTCTCAAGTGGTCGTGTTCAAGTTTGTTCAAATTTATGTGACGCGAGAAAGAGATGACTATAGGTTGTATGTAAAATGCTGGCAGATGATTTCAATGAGAATCCACTGCAATGCGAACAAAGCCATCGGCAGGAGGGATTCTGGGTGATATCCGAGTTCTGGGCAAATCATTCCTAAAGATTCATTATCATCTATTTCGTACAGTCAATTTGAAATGACGGCGCTTTCAAGTGTGGTGGTATGTCCCTCAAGTAGAATTTCTACTTTCTTGTTGTAACAATGAATAGGTGTCGCAGTAATTTGGAGATCCTACGTGGATAGCTCCACGTCAAGTCGAGAAGCATGTGAGAGCGAACTGCTGACTAATTCATCTACATCAGTCCATATTTTTTCAACTTTCTAATTTCTTGACAGTATTCCAGGAAAGTGTGTTGAGGTTGCCGTACTTCAGTGAACCAATTCGAAAGAAATAACTTTAAGTCGTTGAATCAGGCCGCTACAGAGTGAGTTTAAAGGACATGCTTGTGAGGTGACGGATGTAACATTCTGGTTAAGTGACTTCGGTCGAGAAAGCACAGTCTCTTCCACCGCTATCAGTTGTCTGTATTATATCGAAGTTATTGAGCTCATATTCCGTCTTTCCTCAGGTCATACGTAGTATCTTTACCATTTTCAGCACGCTCAGTCCCTTTTCAACGTCAAAGCTGTCATAGCATAGTGTCTCACGGGTTACGATAGAAACAGCACGTCACACAGCCATGTCTGAAAATTCGGAGAACGCCAGCAAGACTCGACAACTTTTAAGCCGCGGTTATTTCAACATGGCAATCACCGTTCCCATAAGCCTCGTGCTCGTACTTCTTTCAGATCACGCAAGAACTTAAGTTGAAAAAGCCCCGTCTTACGCAAAACCATCTGTGCCCAACACCTCAACTCCGCGACTGTGTCCACAGTTCAATGGCTCTAACCCCAATGACAGGACAAAGAGAAAGGGAGGAATGATCTCAATATCCTACACTGGTTTCGAATGAAAGTTATGAAGGAGACATCGCAGCGCCTTTTGTGACGAGAAATTCGTCCAAGGCTGTAGCTTGTGCCGGTGTGTATCCGCTCCCGTTGTTTGAAGTCGGTACAGGCGTTTCCGTCACCAAGTAGACCGTATTCTGTAGATATATTAGCCACGAGTGTACTTCCGATGGCGGGAAGCAAATTCTGCCGGGCAAGCAACAGAGCGTGCGTCAGCTCACCATTCCTAGGACTGCGGCATCCAGCCGATCAAAAATCCTCCACAGCCGATCGGAATTCTTCGTGAAGACGTACCCGGCCGAGATAACGGGGGTGTCGTTCGCCCTCATCACAACCTCATCTTCAGTGTCAAAAACGTACAAGCACAGCACCGGGGCAAACACTTCCTCACGACACATCAACATCGAGTCCGTCATACTACCCAACACAGTCGGCGCCATGAAGTACCCGTCGCCGGGCTCTCTTCTTCCGGTACCGAGCAACTTGACAGCCCCTTTCTCTATTGCATCCTTGCAGAGCGCCTCCGCCTTGTACAGCCCGCGAATAGTCGTCAACGGGCCTAACGTCGTCTCCCTAGCCATCCCGTGCCCGACCTTGAGCCTCGAGACCTCCGCCACCAACAACGTGGAAAACACATCATAGACCCGCCGCTGTACGTAACAGCGGTTTGGCGCGACGCAGGCCTGGCCCGCGTGCCTCCATTTCAGCGCCGTGAGATCCTTGGCCACCTGGCCGAGGTCCGCGTCGTCGAACACGATGGCCGGGCAGTTCGCACCCAGGTCAAGCGAAAGGCGCTTCAGATTCCGGGTGCAGGAGGCAGCGACCTGTTTCCCGACCCGCGCGCTGCCTGTGAAGCTCACCGCCTTGACGAGCGGGTGCATGCACAGCGCCTCGGATACCACCGGCGTGTTCCCCAGGCTCGTTGTCAGGACGTTGAGGGCGCCGGCGGGGAAGCCCGCGCGATCGGCGAGGCAGGCGAGGGCGAGGGCCGAGAGGGGGGTTTCGGAGGATGGTTTGACGATGACGGTGCAGCCGGCCGCTAAAGCTGCTGCCGCTTTACGGAGAGCGAGAGCGAGGGGAAAGCTCCATGGCACCAGAGCGAGAACGACGCCGATAGGTTGCTTGAGGACGGCGCCGCGCCTTTTCGGGAATATGCCGGTTGCCGTTGTCGATGCGGGGACAGTGCCGTCATCGGATGTGGGGGAGGAGACCCGGGATGCAGCCGGCGACGGCAACTGAGGAGTTGATGGTGGCGGCGGTTCCAGTCGCTCGGCTTCACCGGCAAACCAGCGGACGAGACCAGCGCCATAGTCGACTTCGGCGAGGGCTTCGGTCAGCGGCTTCCCTGTTTCATGGACGAGGATGGTGGCCAGGTCGAGGCGGCTAGCGAGGATGAGATGGTGCCAGGAGGTGAGGAGGCGAGCGCGCTCGCGGGCAGGGGTGTTCTTCGAGAAGCCCTGGAAGGCGACGTACGCAGATTTGACTGCGGGATTGACGTCGTCTCTCGTGCTGTCGGGACACGTCGCCCACACGCGACCGGTGCCCGGGTCGAGAACCGCGAAGCGCTTATTGCTGAGGGAGGAGACCCATTCACCGTGGATGTGGCAGTCGCGGCGGAGCAGGTCGACGTCCGTCAGCCTAAAAGGGAGCGGGAAGGACGGTGAGACGGGAGTTAGGCTACGGATGACTAGGCTGTTTTTGTTACTCTTCGCTGTCGAGGTACCTGAGGACGAGGTGCTGGCTGTCGTGATGGTGCTCGCGATGGGGGATGTTACCGCGCTAGTCATTGTTGGTGAGAAAGAGACTCTTCGTCCAAGGGAGGAGTAGTCTTCCCGACCGGGCTGGGCAAGTGAAAGCCTCAGCATCGGACGCCCTATGAGATGGGGGATGAGCGGATTGGTGACGCATACGCACACGATATGGTGTTTGGGAAACCGGGTAGATTGGGACTTAGAAGTTACAAGCAAACGCCCTCCGGGCCGCTGGTAGTTTTAGCAAAGTTGAAGAGGCGCCCTCCTGGGTAATTCGGGATAAGGCGGAGAATTTCTCCCCTCTCCTCACAGTGTGGTATCGGTGCCCGACTGTTGCATACATAGTAGTGGTAGACTTCGGGGGAAATGATCCGAGGTCGAATGAGATGTGCGAGGCTGGGAACACGCATGTTTTAAGCTCTGCCCCTAGGCGTCATCTGAAGCTTGATATCAGTGTGGTTGCAAAGTCTCCTTTAACAACCTACTTCGGGCTTCGAGCAAGCGCCAATCTCCGTGCTGCGGCTTTCCTCTCACCCCCTCTTCCTCTCTTGTCCGAGACTGAGACGAGCGAGCCGCCCCTGATTTGCAGCTTTCTACCCTTTTATGGCAAATCAGTCGCGGGGATGCTTGCATTTGTTTGCTCGGACTCATGATAGAGAGAAGGACGTGTTCATCTGAGCTCTGCAAGAGACGCGGTTGTCAGTAGTGCGGTTCTGAGGAACTTGAGGGGAAACCGTCCAGAGACAATTGAGAAGATTCGGATGAGGGGAACAGGGGTTTGCGCCCACGCACCGATTACCAGCGGGAGTTTATAATACGGGGTTCACGGACAGGAGCCGCATGAGCCAGAAAAAGTGTAGTATTTGGTCAGAATGTTGGAGAGTGTGTCCCAATGGTTGTATATTTCTTTGACACATTCTCAAAGAAAACTACACATGTTTGCTACCACATCTAGTAATAGGACGTGCTTCCGCTCCTGTATTCCGGTCTCGAATCAGGATATCCTCCAGGTGGGCCAGGGAGGCCTTTGCCTTCGTCATCCGAGCTCAGGGCATCTCCGTAATCGTCACTTCTCTCAGGCGGCGCGCGCATGGCTTCCAAGATGCTGCGATCCAACGCTGGTGGCTGATACGGCTTGAGGGTGTGTATCTCACGGCCAGATGGCATCTGAGCTAGCAAGGGCCCGATCGGAGGCACGATCTGGACGTTCATCTAGATATAAAAGGTGAGCTTTTCAGTCATTGGCCTTGGATGTAAGGCAGTCAGGTGGCTTACCGTGTCATTGAGCTTGTGCCATTTCCCTTCGAGTAACTCAGTTACCCTTGTTTCCTCGCCCTTGCCGCCATCCGCACCCCAGGTCGTCTCCTTTTCAACCTTGCGATCCTCACGTTTCTCGCTCCACTCCTTTTTGAACCGACTGAAGCCGGTACCTTTGGTTGAATGTTTGGACTCAACGCCCAACTCCTGGAGACCGGCCTGCAGCCATGCGATAGCCGTGCCAACTTGGCCACTAATCTCTGAATCTATGCCGAAGAAACGGCATGCCTTTGCGCGGCAAGTCCTTCGAAGGTCTTCGAGGTAACGGAGCAGCCCATCGTTGATCTTGCTGGAACCCCGCCCCGCAGCTTGGCAAAGAGAGGAGGCCTGGGCGGCATGCTCGGCGGCGGCGAGACACAGGCGTGCAAACAGATGGGCGCGAACCTTTGGAATTTCGGGGGCTTTGAACATCCACTCGCGGTCATTCTTATTGCGGTCCTGGGCGACGATGGCCGGGTAGGGATCGTCCTTGAGGACGGCTAGGAGTGTCGCCTCGGCGAGAGCTAGGCACGACATGGCTCGAAGAGCCGAGGGTGATACATCGCTGCATGGTGGCGGAACCTGGATTCTTTCAGCCCGGGAAGCCACGTAATCGTATATTGATGCAGCATCCAAGAGGTATTTCGTCGCCGTTTGAATGGAAGCTGTGCGCTGCTGATTGTCCAACGTGGCGTGTGTTGTGACGTACAGCGGGTGTAGAGCAGCCCGGGCAACCAAAGTGTATGAGTTGGCTAGAGATGAAAGAGTGAAGGCGATCTCATGGTCTATGGACTGCACCTTTACCCTCGATCGCTCCCTGCCGGGCACTGCATTGTCCGAAAGCGTTGGCCGCCATTCGATGGACGGCGGCGTCTTGGTGTTGAGGTTGATGTAGTCACCTGACTGAGACGTCGGGTTCAGTCCAGCATCAATTGCAAGAATATAGGGGATGTAGCCGTTCAGAGCTCCAATGACTGTCGAAATGTGGGAAGATTGCGATGACGGGGGTATTCGTTTATGTTTCTTGAGGGCATCTCTCACAACCCCGCGGTAGGTGCTGGAACTGAGGGGCAGTGAAGGGTGAGTATCACTGCTGAAGCTGGACGAGAATGAGAAGGCCGAAGTTGTGGGAAGAACAAAAGGGAAAGGCATTTTTGACAGGAGTTGGTCACCAGCCGACGAGGAAACCAAAGAGGGCAAGGCAGGATAAGGCAGGAAAGTGTTTATGAAATTCAACGATCGTCCACCCACTAACATGGAAAGCTGCCAGAGAGACAGCACCTCCCTGTGACGTTAGTTGTCCCGGATTACCTAGCCAATCGAAGCTAAGACACTTTAGTCCTTTGACCCCAGACTCGGTCACGTGGTTGAGACCGGCATTCCCCCGGTTGCGCTGCGGAGGGCCACAAGCTGAGCTCCTACAACCCGTGGCCGAAGCTCGAGTTTGGGAGCTCAAAATTTGAACCTGTATTTGTCTTCGCATTCGAGATGGAAAGTCGCTCGGCTCTCGAGGTTGCAAAAGAAGCAGGGTTGTCACTGTTTAGTAGATCATCATATTGGCAAGTTGTTATGTCATAAGGTACTAGAAGACACAGAATAAGTTTGGAGGGAAGACGTTGAATTGGTTGCTTATTTGATGGAATGATTATGTTAAAGTAAGGTAGGGGCAGCTACCATGCCGCCTTGTTCATCAAATTAAATCCAAGCTGCCACTGCTTCTGTGTAGAATTCACAGAATGCTTGAGACAAGGGAACGGCTAGCGGCAGGTACCTGGCGATCCGAACCAGCCTTTAGTGGCCGGGATGTGGGGACCTTACAGGTTGATGCACCCACCAGCTGTCGGGTATGTTAACGCGACGTGGACCCTTGAACTTCAGCAGCAACGAATCTCCCACTGTCTCTCAGACTTTGACAAAGCCAATTCGCCTTTTTTTTTTTTTTTTTTTTGGCAATTATCCACCTCCCTCTGGCACCTCATGCCGCACATTGCGAACCGATTGGATACCGACTGAGCTGCGAACATGATCAGTCCATCTCCCCACAAACCCCGGCGCAGGGGCGGCAAGAAGACGAACGGTGGAAATGGTGTCGGCAGCAGTACAGCCACCGTGGAAAGCCACCTCACTAGGAAGGAGGCTCTAGTCAAGGCCCCGATCTTCCCTCTGGCTTCATTTCTGTGGCCTGCTCGAGGCTCCGTGTCCCAGTGGGAGGTCCTTCCCCTGATCCTCATGGTAGTTGGCCTGTTCAGATGGGCAGCTAGCCTTTGGGGATACTCTGGTAAATGCGCTCTTGGACACCGTTGGAAAGTGACGGCTCATGCTGACCATCCCACTCGTCTCAGGTTTCCAGAGACCACCCATGTTTGGAGACTACGAGGCGCAAAGACACTGGATGGAGATTACGACGCAGATTCCCGTCTCACAGTGGTACTTCCACGACCTGCAGTGGTGGGGTCTCGACTACCCGCCCCTGACGGCCTACCATAGCTGGCTCTGCGGCGAGGTTGGGTCTCTCATCAATCCGACTTGGTTCGAGCTGTATACCTCGCGAGGATCTGACGACCCGAATCTGAAGATATTCATGCGCGCCACGGTCATTGTCTCCGAGTACCTTGTCTATATCCCTGCCGCCGTCGTATTCGTCCGACGCTTCTCCAGACATAGCAATGTGCCGACATGGACCGCTTGGATGGCGCTCGTCGCAATTTTGATGCAGCCCGCTACGATGCTCATCGACCACGTCCACTTCCAGTATAACACTGTCATGCTCGGTCTCGTCCTGGCGAGCATGTCGAGTATCCTGGCTGGTCGCTATCTCTGGTCGGCTGTCTTCTTCGTTGCCGCTCTTGGTTTTAAACAGATGGCCCTCTATTACGCCCTCTCCGTCTTCTCGTTTCTCCTGGGCAGCTGCGTTTTTCCTTTGAAGCCAGGCCGTTTCGTCGGCATTGCGCTGGCAACTGTCGCGGCTTTCGCACTCCTGCTTCTGCCCCTCGTGTTGGGCACCCTCTACGACGCCCATCGAGGCATTGACGCGCGGCCAGACTATGAGGGGCCTCCGCCTGCCCTACCTCTATTCCCCTGGCTGACCGATGTCCTTGACACCGATGCCATCTACTATCCCGTTGTCGAGCAACTGGTACAGATGGTCCATCGCATCTTCCCCTTTGCCCGCGGTCTCTTTGAAGACAAAGTCGCCAACTTCTGGTGCGCTGCCAACGTCGTCGTCAAGCTTCGCAACTACCCTCCCGAGCTTCTTCAGCGAGGCGCACTTGTGGCTACACTGGCCTCTATCATTCCGCCCAACCTCATTCTCTTTTTCCGTCCGCGCAAGTCACTTCTGCCCTTGGCCTTCGCAACCACGGCATGGGGCTTCTTTCTCTTCAGCTACCAAGTTCACGAGAAGAGTGCCCTGCTTCCTCTCATGCCCATGACCTTGCTGCTTGCCGGCAAGCACGGACTGTCACGAGATGTTCGGGCCTGGGTCGGATTTGCCAATGCCTTGGGCGCGTGGACGATGTTTCCCCTCCTTAAGCGGGTGGATCTCAGCGTCCCGTACGCCATCCTGACCCTGCTTTGGGCATACCTCCTTGGTCTTCCGCCAACATCCCTGAGTGCCTACTTCCATGAGGATCATGGCAGGCTGCGCCAGTGGGCGACATTTTTTCTCCACGGGGGTTTCTACTTCGCCATGATTGCGTGGCATGTGGTAGAGAGAGTCATAGTGCCGCCTATTGATAAGCCCGATCTCTGGGTCGTCGCAAACGTGGGTGTCGGTGCGGTAGGATTCGGCATTTGTTACCTTTGGTGTCTGTTGCAGTTGATTGTGCAGAGTGACATTCTGCCGACAGGAGGAAGCGCGAAGAACAAGGCAAAGAGCCAGTAGATAAAAGGGTCGACTAGCAATAGTCCTGTACATGACAGACGGGTGACTCTCTTAGAAGGAGAGCCCATGTAACAACAACGTGGATCGAAAAACGAGCATCGGAAAAGCAAAGGTTTGTTTTGATAAATTGGGTGAATAGTACGTAATATACTTTTAAAGGCCGAAACGATGCTATTCTACCACCTGGCGATGCACCTCGATATCTAAGGAAGAACGGAAGGAAAACAGGGAATCTCATGATTACCGACATCGCCTAGTCCTGACTGACTTGTATCTTTCCGGGACAAAGTTTGATATGTCCGGGGAAAATCACGAAACCTGCACAAACGCCCTCTTCTTGACAGCCCGGCTTTCATCGCAATCATCCCAATTCTCGTCGACGTAGTCCTTGACACTCTTCTCCTGGATCTGCATGCCGACAACCTTGAGCGCGGCGATGTTGAAGCCCATCTCGTCTTTTTGGCGTTTCAGCGCGGCGCGCAGGTTGGCGCGGATGCCGTCTAGCATGCCGCGCATGGTGCGGCTGGCGACGATCTGGCGATGGTGCGTCTTAAGCATGAAGAAGAGGATGCGGCAGGTCAACGGGATGTTCATGGAGCGCTGGGCAAAGACGTTGAGGAAGGTAAAGAGCATAGGCACGGTCGAGAAGGGTAGCACGAGGAGCGCGTCGTGCAGCGCCGAGGCCTTGATGCGGCCCAGCACACTCATGACGTAGGCCTCGGCCGTCACGTTGCCGAGGGCGACGAAGATGGGGTTTCGCTGGGGTGGCGGCGCGTGCGGGTTCGTCTTCTTGGCGTCCTCCCATTCCTTGAGGAGGTTGAGGTCAGCGATGGCGATCTCGAGGGCCTCGGCGATGCGCTCGCCCGCCATGAGGGTCTCGACGGTCTGCTTGGAGGCGGCGCCGACCTCGCCCTCTTGGTCCTCGGCGTCTGGGTCACGCTCGAGCGAGGTGGTGAGGGTCTTTTCGTAGAGCTCTTCAATCTCCTTTTCGCGCTCCTCCTCGAGGAAGATCTGCTCGTCCGTCTCGTCCCAGACGCGGATGGACTTGTCGTGGCCGGCAGTGACGAGGAAGTTGCCTGTGTGGCCGACGGCCATGGCCCAGACCTCGCCATGGTGGCCGTCGAGGCGCTGGATCTGCTCAAACTTGTCGCCGTCCCAGTACTTGATGACGTGGTCCTTGGAGCTGCTGAAGAAGTGGTGGCCGTTGCCATCCGAGTTGTGGGGGACGAAGGCGACCTGCAGGATGGAGTCCTGGTGTCCGAAGAGGGCCTTGTGGCAGTCGCCAAAGTCGAGGCCCCATATCCTGATGTTTTTGTCGGCGGAGCTGGTGACGATGAGCTTGCTGTCGTACGAAATGTCCATGCTCAGCACCGGGAGCTTGTGGCCGTAGAGGTTGAGGTAGAGCTTCAGGCTGTCGGTGAAGAAGACTTTGACAGTGTTATCGAGGAGGGAAACGGCGATGTACTTGGCATCGGGAGAGTATCTCACACAAAGGATGTCGTCGGACACCTTGAGTGTTTTCGATTGGACGAGCTTCAGCTTTGGTGTTGTGCGTGTGGTGCCTAGAACCGGCTCTTGGACGATCTTGAAGTCCCAGAACTTGGCTGACTTGTCGGCACTGCCCGATGCCACCGATCTGCCGTCAGGGTGCACTTGTAACGACCAGATGGCACCCTCGTGCGCGGAGACGCTGTCCAGGAGACTCGCGGACGCGACATCGAAGAGCTCGAGCTCTCCCGTCTTGGTTCCAACGACGACCACCTTGTCTCCAGGCAGGAACGCACAGCAAAGAGCGTACCCGCACTCGAAGGTGCGGATGCAGGCCTGAGTTTTGATGTTCCAGATCTTCAGACTTCCGTTGGCAGCCGTTGCCAACATCTTATCATCGGAGCTGAGCGAGACGGCGCGAATGTCTGTCCTATGTCCGGGGAGTTCCACGGCCAGCGACCGCGTGTAGTCGGGCACATCCTCCTTCTTCGTCTTGGAACCTTCTTTTGTGGGTATGTTGTAGTACTCGAGCTGGTTGTTTGTCGTCCCGACCAGCAAGTGTATTTCCTTGCTCCCGCCGTTGACCCCCCAGTCGACCGACCGCACCTTGCCGCCCGTCCGGACAATCACGTACTGAACGAAAAAGTCGCTGGCCTCCGCGGTGGAGATATCTTCAGCCTGATCTTCGCCCTCGACCGCAGCGTCAGCCTCTCCTTTCCCTTCTTTGCCGGCCTTTTCACGTCTTCTTCTCCTCTTTCGGGCCAGAGACTTCTTGACCTCT